CCTGATCACTCTGATCAATAGGAGATTTCCCCTTGAAGATACCTTGGCTGCCTACAAGAGAGGCAGCTTCCATTTTGTTTGGCTTCCATTTTCCCAGAAGTTGGTAAAAGCATAACTCTCCAAGTTTTATGTTTAATTTTTAATTTAATTCATGATTTGTATCTGTATTCTGATTATATTGATTTTTTTTAAAAAAGATTTGTAAACTGACTTATCAAACAAATACAAAAGTGTATTAATAAATAAATCCACCCTCTCCTATAATGAAAAATAAGCATACTGACTAGATCCTTTGGTTCCAGTGTATTTTCTTTAATGTAATAGTCATTCTGAGATAGAAGAAGAATATACTTTGCAAGCTTTTGCTTTGAGCCAAACTTTCTATTCTCTTTCATATGACTCTGGGATCCAACAAAGAAAGAAGAGCTGAAAAAGATAATAATCATAGTGTAGCATGAAATGCCCTTTGATCTTTTCTCCCTGCTTTTTTGGCACTGTGAGACCACTAAGCCTGCACTTAAATTATGGTTTGAATTGCCAGGTTTTACCCCCCAGAATCAGGCTTAAATTGCTAACTAGACAAGATGGACATTTGGCCAGAGGATTCCTTGTGGCCATTTTCAGAAATACTATGCAGAAAGAGAAAGACTCTTTCCAATATTTGCATGCCAAAGAAGTCGTTCTTTGTATTTAGCAATAGTGCTTAGACTTATATACCGCTTTACAGTGCTTTACAGCCCTCTCTATGCGGTTTACAGAGTAAGCATATTGCCCCCCAACAATCTGGGTCCTCATTTTACCAACCTTGGAAGGATGGAAGGCTGAGTCAGCCTTGAGCCAGTCAGGATTGAACTGCTGGCAGTCAGCAGAATTAGCCTGCAATACTTCATTCTAACCACTGTGCCACCACAGCTCTTTAAAAGTATAGAATGATAAGGAGTATAGAGGCATAAGAAAAGTAGTTCATTTATCTAAAAAATGTCTATGATGTGTGAAATGGAATAACTCAGATGTGAGGACTAAGTGGAACTCTACAAGAGTAAACCAAAGATTCCTCCTGCTTCCCACAATGCCCAATGACGGGATGTTCCTATCATGGTTTACAACTGGCTGCCATGTTGCTTCTCAGCAGGGACCTTTCAGTGATACTTTGCTACTGAAGCTACTGATAGGAATTGATGGAAGTGTCCTTTGTAGATTTATATAATCCTTTTAAAAAATCTTCAGATTGCAAATCTGTACACATTTTTTAAAGCATGCTTAATGTTAACATTTGTCTTCTTGGAGCATAAGTCACTTACTTTTCTTGCCTCCCCAACTCTGCTTTGCTTCTGAAGATGCTATTGTAATCAATTGCATCTTCGGAAGCAAAGCAAATAACAGCTTATGGGGGAACATGATGCCAGAATAAGGCATTGGCAAATACTTTTCCAGCAAAATAAAGTGTCATTGTGGTTGACATTAAAAAAAAAAAATGTACAAATATAATGCACTCACTTAAAAAAAAAAAAACAGACTGCAGTTCGGGGTGCTCCTGGCCTTTAGCCATCACCACATGTATGAGTGACAGCTGTGATGAGGACTAAATTTGCACATCTACAGCTAGTGTGATTTATGGTCCACTTATGTCATTATCCACCATTACGTAGTTACATCCCATTTTGACAATTGCAATGTGTTCTACATGGGACTCCCCTGGAAAAATATCTGAAAATTACACTTTCTGCAAAATCAAACTAAAAATCTATAAAAATGGATCTCTTTTTTTTCCAAGCTCTTAATTATTAGTTATGACTAGCATTAATGTTCATGTATTTGTCTTAACTGCATGCACTTTAATCGTTTTAGCCATCTTCAATATTGAGTAGGAAAATGGATCATAAATTGAATGCATAAAGACATGTTCAACCATGTTTTGTAGGAGCAAAGGCATATTACCAGAGAGCCAGTTTGATGTAGTGGTTGAGGCTGCAGGCTAAAAACCAGGAGGCTGTGAGTTCTTCTCCTGATTTAAAGTACAAAGCCAGCTGGGCCACTTAGAGCCAGCCACTCTCAGAAAGAGGCAATGGCAAATCATTTCCCAGAGGTTTTTGCTATGAGAATAAGCAGGTACTCACCAGAAGTCAGTGCTGACTTGAAAGTGTGCATATGCATTCATTCACACATACTCACACACAAATACACACAAAAGTATCTACTACCAATTGAGATGGAATCAGAATGATGCACATTGTCATGTCATAATACAACTCCCACTCCAGGTAACTAAAAAGAGTATATTATGATGATGATGATGATGATGATGATGATGATGATGATGATGATGATGATGTGTCTAGATCAGAGGTGTCAAACTGGTGGCCTATGGGCCAGATGCATAAAGTGCAGGCCACACCCACCCCAGCTCTTTGAAGGGAAAGAACATTGTGATACGTCACATGATGGCAACGTGATGCGGCAAGTTTAGACACCCGTGGTCTAGATCAAACTTCAAATTGCAGAATGAAGCCACTTTCTTGGCCTTGTCATTGGCCAAAAATAAGTCATTATTGGTACATGTTTGTGGAAGCAGCCGACATACCAGCAGATGGGCCAGGCTTTGTGTCTCTCCACATTCACACTGTGTGTTGTTATCTGCCAAAAGCCTCCACTTAAGAGTATTGGTTTTACACTTAGGCACTCCAACTCTTAACCTATTCAGGGTTTTTCAGATAGGTCATAAAGGAATATATACAAAAATGGGAGGGGGAAACCCAACAGATCATATTCCCAACCACTTTTCTTACCTGTCCATCATACTATAATAGTCACAGTCACAACACCCATCAAAACGACCATACTGACTCTTTCCAAGGAAGAATAAGGCACGTCCATATCCTCATTGTTTCCATTCTCCAGTCCTTTAACAGAGGAATGCAGAAACTTTCATTCAGGTTCTCGGAATAAAAAGAAAGCAACGTCCAAGGTGCCTTGACAGTCTTCTTTGTTACCCTGAAATGAGCATCAGCCCTTCTGCAACAAGGCATGGCAGCAGTTGGAGTGGATGAAACGAAACAATACAGACAGGAGCCCATGGAAAAGTGGGGAAGAGAGGGAGGGAATAGGATCTGGGAGGTGGGATGAGTCACGGACAGCTGCCAATGGAAAAACAGACTCCCTACAAGTTCTCTACGGCCAAAGGGTTGCAAACTAAGCTTTGCTCTGGTTTCTGTAGTGGAAGCAGAGAGAAAAAATACCTCAGCAATCTTACAGCAGCAGATTTCATACTGATCTCACGCCTGCTAGTCCAGAGTTCACCTTAGTGTCTCTTAGTTTATTGTTTTTATAATTACCTCATGCCAGAAATGCTGTGAAGTTTTAATCAAGAGCTACAAAAGAAAGCCAGGACTTCAGCACAGGACAGATTCCCAGAGCCAATCTGCTAAGCAACTATATTTATGGGGCCATTTTTACTTCTATTTGACATGTTTTATCATTATGTTCATTTAATTTCACCCGTTGTTCTCCTTGATATCATTAACTTGTTCTTCCCCTTCTTTTTGGTGGGGAGGAGGGCATTATTAGTTGTGCCAAGTGAATATGAAATTCTACCGCCCAATGGCTAGTTAGAAGATGCTTTAATCAGCTAGCCTTTTCAAAAACCTAACTCAATGAACGCACAACCTTTCTAAGCATATCTATGGAGTATGGAGCATTGAAACCAACATCCCCAGAATCCACCATGTACAAACTGCTTATTTGATTGTGTTTGTATTTGAAAGCAGATCATGCTAAGTGTAAGAATATATCTAAAATCAGGCTTAAAATTATTAGCAGAAACATATTGTGCTCGGGCAAGATCTCAAGCACTTCTCCCAGATCACTTTCAAAAGTCATTCAGCTCTGGTAAATACATTGTTTGCAAGCTCTATAAAGTTGTAGAGCCTGACACTTTAATGAATCCAAACAATCTCTAATGGAACGTTATTAGATTAATGTGTTGATGAAACAGCATGAAATCGTTTTGTAACATTTGGTTAGCTGGGTGCCGTGAAGTCTGGCTTGACCATTGGCAGCCTTATGGAGAGGTGTCCATCATCTCAACTTGTCCCTAGTGACCACCTGTAGCTCTTCCAGTGCTTATCAACTCTTACCACCCCCCCTTTTTAACTTCTCTTAGCCTTTCCAAATATCTTTAGTTCATCCCACTCACATCCCATGCTCAAAATATGTGTTTGTTTGCTGATCATTAATTCTTAAACCTTGATTACATTCAACTAACAGGTTGTCTTTGCATACTTGATCCTGTTCCTTAGATTGATTTTATATTCTCTTGTTTTCTAGATTAAGTCTTAAGGGCAACACCTACTTGCTTTAATTTTAATTTAACCTATATACCTCACACCAACCTGTCTCTTCCATAATCTGTGCTTGGAAGTGTCCTTGTGCCCGTGTTCAATAGTTTGTGTACTAGACCTGATTCCAGTATTGTGTATCTGGTGATGTCCATGTGTTGATGTGGTTTAAGGCAACTACACATAGACCTCAACTGTGTGACCGGTCACTTAGCAACCATTTGACGTTACAACAGCCCCTCCTCAAAACATACCTACAAGCTGGTTTCCAAGTTCCAAGAGCTGCCCACCCACCCACCCCCATGGACATGTGACTTGCAAATGGTCTGGATTTATAGTTGTTTGCAGCATCCCATGATCATGCAAATGAAGAATCTTCTGTCCCAAACTTTATTAACCCTAACTCCTAAATTGTGTGGTGTTCTTTCAGTCAGAAGTTTCCCAATAATTAAGATTCTGCCATTTCTCAAACTTTTGCATTGCAGTCATCTTTTATTAGTATCTTTTATGGGTGCTGCATTTAGCGCCTTTTGGTTTTGCAGTAAAAATTTTCTGTCATTCTCCATTGCCTCTATCATAAGTCCATATACTTAATATCCACTCATTCCAATTAGCAATTTACATCAAGACCTGGTTAATTGGTATACAAATGACAGATCAATCCTCTGTGAAAAATACATCTTTTTTATTCCATAAATAATCCAATGTTATTGCAAATGAGGTTTTGATTCACCATTTTCTCAAATCTGTGTTCTTTAAACATTAGGAATAGCTTCTTACCATCAGGTTCGGTATAGAAAATATACAGTACATTTTTAGCAAATGTTCAGGACCAAAGGATAATTAACATTGCATACATGTAAAACTTTTATCTGGCAGGAATAACCAGGTTTATTTCTGAAATAGGGATGCATAGGATCAGACTGTCACTTAGGTAAAATAACAAACTAAATGTTAAATTTTGACTGGAAAAACTAAAATGGCTAACTTAAAGTACTTTCTTGTAGCCCATCTTGGTCAGTGCGGTGTCTTTGCACTTTTTTCCTCCTGATTTGAAATACAGGATTCTCCACCCCCCTCCCCAAATACTGGTTGCTTTTAGATGAAGCTTGTATTGCATAAATCACCTTGCTCCCATTCAAGGAATTTCTCCCAGATAATGTGATTTATTTAATAACTGGCCTGTATTCTACCATTTTGTATCCATTTTTTTAATAACTGACCCAAAAGACATAGAAGAAAATAGCAGTGCAATTATGCAATAGATGAAGATTTTGCTTGAGAAAGGCAAATTGATTTGATACTAATACTTTGTTCCCTCCGAAAATAAGACATCCCCTGATAATAAGCCCAATTGGGCTTTTGAGCATATGCGCTAAAATAAGCCTCCCCCCGAAAACAAGCCCTCCCCAAAAATATTTAAACGCAGAGTTGGAAATCAGGTAAGATTGCAAGAGGATCTTATTTTAGGAGAAACACAGTAGTACTCTCTCATCTCTTGCCAAGACTGATTTACTATGGACTTATTTGCTGTCCTATACGTAGCCAATCTTCTTCATTTCCACAAGGTGCTCAATATACAATGAAATCTCATTAAATTTACTTTTAACTATCCATTGGTGGAATCTGATTCTGATCCTCTTTTACAATGCTCTCAATACACACTTTTAAAAGCAGAATGGAAAAACAATTTATGCCAAATTTCTTCTCATGCTCAGCTGAACTAAAACTGCCCTACTGTTCACAAGGAAGATAATCTGAAAAACAAAGCAACAAAAACAGTATGTGCCACTTTTAACTTCCAGTGGTTTAGTTCTGTTTAGAAATAAATCCATTGTATGAATTTAGAATGCCATTTGTTTAGTCAGATTCTTTTAGGGTCTGAGACTAAATCGTGACTGTTAAAAAAAAAAGGTAGAAAAGGTTATAATAGCCCCCTTGCCTTGAGATGGTATTGTGTGTGTGTGCGTGCACACGAGAAAGGGTTAATTTGTTCTTCACATTCCTTCCACCTCCATCATTCCCACCAGTGAAATTCATTCCATTCATTGCCAAATTTGACATTTTAAAACAGGGTAGGAGTTAAATTGATTTGAAAGTCTTATTTCCTTTTGAAAGTTTAATAAAATAAATTGACATATCAGTTTGGGAGATGTTGCCCTTTAGATTAGTCTTCTAGCCACCGAAACTTTGCTCAAAACTAGCAACAAACCAGGCACCTGAGCTGGCTTTGTAGAATGGCTCTTACCCAATGCTGACTTCAGCATAATTAGACAAATTCAATCTTATTTGTAACACACAGCATACTGCTTCTATAAATCTGCAAATCAAGCATACTCGAAGCATTAAAGCACGTCACTTTTAAAGTTTCAGTGCAATGTAATTACAATGTAAAGTCTCACTCAACCAGCATTCTCTCATGCAGGTTTACACTGTTAATGTGTTGTGAGCAGATTAATTTAGGTCTCCTGCATTTCGTTCCCCATTTTCTAAGGAACACAACCAAACAAGCATAACTGCTGATTCCTATTTACTTCCTGATTCATTGTTAGCATTTAAATAACCCTGCCCACCTCCCCACAAAAACCTGGATTATTCCCATGAACACCTGTGCATAAGTGATTTTTGCATCTGAGACATAAATTTGTTACTTAGACATTTGTTGGAATCTATTCCAAACATGCTGACAGCAGGCATTCCCGAGTACAAGTTTTTAATCATCCCATTCTTGCTGCTGTGTCTTCCATCTATGTTTCATTTTGATCAGAGGCTCAAACTACTGTAATTTTTCAGAGCAAATTACAGCTGTTTTATCAGGCAGATGTCTTTATACTGGGAAAGGACCAAGGAATTAGGTAATTCCTGAATTAGAAAGCAAATTAATGAATTTGCACACTGTCTTGTATTTGCAATTAGGAATGTAATGGTTAAAAAGCCATTCAAAAATAAATATCTCAGATGTAAAACAAAAAAATGGAAAATAAATTTCAGAGATTTGCCAACAATCCTTTTTTTTTAAAAAAAAAAGCTTGCAGTTAGAGTGAGAAAGCAAGAGGAAAATCTGCCATTCTTGACTAGTTTCAGCAAGTTTCGATGTCAAACCCTCAATGTAGATGTTGGGTGCTTTGTTTTATATACACAATATCATATACTTTCCCCAACAGTATTTCCTCAGAGAATTAAATATTAAAAACGGCAGCTTTTCTTCATTTGAAAAGTTTGAAATAAACAAAACAAGGAATACCTTTTTTTTTTAAATTATGGAGAAAAATAGCTTGTTGTATGTTTGTACAAATATATATTTTCCAGGATTTAGTGATTTGAACAGAAATGGCCTGTTAATGAACCACCATCATGGTCCGTGACCGACCCAGATCGGATCCTGCATTATTACAATGTATTGCAGTGCACGTGATCAGAAACGGGAGGAAAAGCAGGAATTCTTAATCCAAGCATTTTGCGCCAATGGAAACTTGTGCACGGAAGGGCAAAAAAAAAAAGGGGGGGGTGGAAACACAACTTTGCAGTCCCTGAGATGAAGTGAAGGAAAAGAGCGGGAGGAGAGAGAGAGAGAGAGAGAGGCGGGAGGAAACTGCTACACGAGGGATTCGCACACGGGCACCGAGTCCGAGTCCTGGCTGTGCATAGAGCTCAAACCCGTGTCGGAATCCTCGTCTTCACGATCCTCGCGGTCTTTGCTCAAACTCCGGGCGGCTTCCTCACCCCAATCTCCCGAGGTGATCGGGACCGAGGCCGGCAGCTCGTCTCCCGGGTTGAAAGGGAGGCCCCCTCGCTCGTCCTCGTCCGCCACCGCCGTTTCCTCCTCCTCCTCCTCCTCCCCCACCCCCTCCACGTGTAAGGACTCCAGGGAATCGAGCAGGCGCTGGAGCTCCCGCTCTTTATCGGCCCAAGCGAGCTGCGTAAATTCCAGGTCCGACTTCACGGCGTCCAAATCCGTGTTGAGGCGCAGCCCGATGTAGAGGCTGGTGCTCAGCTGCGTCTTGACGCGCTCCTGCTCCACGTGGAGCTCGCCGCCGCCGCCGCTCAGCTCAGTGGTGTTGCAGTCCGTCTCGGAGAGGCTGGCGCTGGAGCCCTTGGCGGCCGCCAGCTCTTCCCGGCGCCGCCTCATCCAGCGCTCGTTGAGCTCCTCCTGGATCTCGCCGGCCAAATGCTCGATCAGCTCCTCCTGGCGGCGCCACTGCTCCTGCACGCGAGCCACCTGCTCGCACTTCCACGCGTACTCCTCCAAGTCCTCGCTGCCGGACGACGGGTTCTCTAACTCCCCCGCCGTCGTCGTCGGGGCCGCCCCCGCGGGAGACTTTAGCTCCTGGTCTCCCGCGGGGGGCTCCGGCTCTTCTCCGACCAAGTAAGTGTCCTGCACGTAGTTAACCCCGTGGCGTTTCATGCGGTCGAAATGAATCCTCGCCTCGTAGCGGTCGATCTCCCGGTCTAAGTCGCGGAGCCGCTTGATCTGCTGCCGGATGGTGTGGTCCTGCGAAAGGACCAGATGCACCAGAGTCTCCATCCTTTCGCCCGCCGGGGCTTCCTTGGCCGGCGGCTCCTCGAGCTGCGGCTGCCCCTTCCTCTTGTTGATCTTGGCCAGCTTGCGGAAGGCTTTCCTCACCACGCGCCTCTGCCGTTCCTGGCTCAAAGCCAGGCTGGCCCGGGCTGTAACCCCCAAGCCATGGCATCCCGGGCTGTCCCTGCTGGGCACCACCCTGGCCTCGGCGCTCCTGGGTCCGGTGTTGGGCAAGGACGCCTCGCTGCGCACCAGCACGAAGCGCACGTTCTCCTGCTCGTCGCCCCAGGCCGCCCAGAGCCTCAGGATCTTGGTCTTGTTGGGCAGGATCCTCTCAAAGCCCCGCCACTTCTCCACGATGCAGTAAGACTGCGGGAGCCCCGACAACATCCCCCCGCCGCACTCCTGCAGCGATGCCTGCTGCTGCTGCTGCTGCTGTTGCCGACGCCTGCGCCGCTGCTTGCTCTCCTCCAAAAGGACCCGCACCACATCCGAGCAAGTGGTCCGTTTGGTGAGGCCCGAGATTAACTTCTCCTCCTGGCAAATCCACACCGAGATCTTCTTTTCCTCCGGCTCCATCGGGGCACGGGACCTCGGCGATCGTGAAGGGGGTGGGGGGCGCCCGCTACTAATCGGCGGGATCCCCCATAGGAGCGCTCACCAGAGCCGCGCCGCCCGAGAGCCGCCCTGGCGAGGCATGGCTGCGACCCTTTCCTCTGCCCGCCTGCGGGGCGCTAAAACAACAAAAACAAAAAAACGAGCCTAAAATTGCAGCGCTCCCGGGATCTCCCTCGTTCGGCTCTGCTCCTTCTAGGCTCGCGCTCGGGGTGGCTGATTTTTTTTAATTTTTTTTTCGCCCGCCGACGGGATCCCGGAGAAGAACCAACTTCGGAGTCTCAGCTCCGCCTCCTTTAGTGCTACTGTTGCTGCGGAGCGCCTGCCTCCCCGGCACCTTCCCTCCTGACACTGCTCTGCCTCCCCGCTCGGCTACCGCGTTTTCTTCTCCTATCACGTGATCCTTCCCCCCCCCCCCCCCCCCCCCCCCCCTTTCCAGCAGCTGTGGGCTTTGATTCAAGACGATCTATCTGGCACTTCAATCTTAAAAGTAAGAGATTGCTGCGTGTTGTAGGTTATATTTTTGTATCCGTACCGAAGAAATAAGAAGTTACTTTTTTTTTTCCTCCTTATTTTTTCCCCCCTTTCCAGAGCTCCGAAAACTTTGTTCCCTTCCTGACCTTTTCTTTCTAATCTCTTCCTTTTCCAGTTTTTCTTACATTTTATTCTTCGTTCGAACTGGATAAAGTCCTACAAAGAAAAAAGACTATTTTGGGGGTGCTGTATAGATTCTAATCCCCCCCACCCCCACCCCATGCTTTAAAAGGACAGGAGGCACAGTTGTACAATTTCACACCATGGGTTAAAAAAGTCCTTGCAATGGTCCTTCAATGGGTTTTGGAGTGTAGGAAGTTAGCACCCACCCCTTTCCTAGAAGAATGAAATATTTTGGGAAATATTAAAAAGGCAGAATATTATGTTTCCCTGGATGAGAAATAGAGAAGCATGTTTTAAAGACGAAGCAGCTCCCACCTTCTTGCCCCCCACCCTTTGTTAATGGGCCAGAGGCAGAAACCCAATCTTTTGTCAAAGGACCATCATCTGCAACACAATAGAACCCATCTAGCAACAGAAACTAACACAATGGAACCCATTTAGCAACAGAAACTCACCACATGGCACCTGGGAAGATTACATCAGCCAGCAAGGCTAGCTAAGACCCCCACCCCCTGGGAGTCTGACAACCAATCAGGATACTCTTTCTGGGCCCCAGGAAGTTCAAAGCCAGAGAGAGCGTAAAACCCGGAGACTCGCTGTATCTCGCCCCTTTTCTGTTCAGGAACTCAAGCCATGTGATCCTGTCCACCATTAAACCATCTTTCCAAGCAGTCTCCATGTTTCCAGTGTCTTTTTCCCCACTTGGAGCTGAACCCAGAAGGATATTTCTTCCTACAGGAGAAGGTACTCCTGTCCAATTATTCTCCAACATCCTCTCACCCACCCTCCAAAAAAAACAAAAAACTTGGAAGAGAATGTTTCAAAGGAAGCAACCAAAATCCAGTCCAAATTTCTTTCAATTGAATAAAATCCCCCACCCTGTAATTAAAAAAAAAAAAAAAAAAAAACCTTTTCGCATGCCAAAGCATTTCACAGATCATATGCACAGTGAACTGTAAACCTTACTAAGCATTATTAAAATCTGTGGATGCTGCCAGGATTCAAAGAGAAAATTTGCTATGTACTGTATTTCAATAGCAGAAGAATGAACCGACAATAAATCTCTACTCTTTTTACATATGCCCAGATGGGACAGAACCTGGTTATTCTGAGTAAAATTCACTTCCTGGCAATTGGATTACTGTATGTTTTATGTTTCGTTTCTGGAAAATAAATATGAAAAATGAACTGTCTTTTTGCCTTGGGTGACAAACATTTCTAGTGCACTGAGAATGTTGCTTTGATTTTTATTGTATTTATTTACTTAAAACATTGCCTGACTGAGCTTGTCGATCAGAAAGGTCGGCAGTTCGGTGGTTCGAATCCCTAGTACAGGTCTCCTGCGTGAGCAGGGGGTTGGACTACATGGCCTCCAAGGTCCCTTCCAACTCTGTTACTGTTAAATCCTGTTAAATTTGTAGAGCCTCCCATCTTAGAGCAAAACTAATCCCAATAAAAAACAATGTATGCAACAATAAAAGGGGGGAAAAAATAAAAAAGCTAGAAACTGAAAGACCAAATGCCACAGCTACACTTCTCTTATGCAATTCCCAATACTTTTTTTTCCTACTGTGACCACACCAAGTCCCAACCATTGGGGGGAGAGCCGGGTCTTGCTGTCTGCAAGTTAAGAGGGTGGGGGGGCCTGTGGTATCTCAGGGTGGGAGAGTGTTCCATAGAAAGCATGTTTTTGGTGACTGGCAAGATTGAAGCGTTTAATGCATCCTTCTACCATCCCTATCTACTCTGGTGAGATAGGCAGATCGCCTCAGGGAGAGGCGATCCCACAGATTATGGGGATTTTTTTTTCCCGTAAAGAAGTTGCTGATTAATAACAGCAAAGTTTCACTGACATTTAAAATGATCTGGTTTCTCCATGAATTAAAAGTCATACAAAAAGCAAAAATGAGAATGGGAGGAAAGGGAAGAGAAGGGAAGGGAAGGAGGGAAGCACTATAGCTCATAATTTCTTTTGCTGCCAGATAAATTCTCAGCGTTTGGTGCCCAAAGCAGAGAACATTAAGAGTGGAGCTGGAGATGCGCAAATTACAATGTGCCAAGTTCAAACGGCTTGCATTTCAAGAGTAATGGTTCATGATGATTTATGAGCTTTTGTAAAACTAATCTGGACTAAGGATGAAATCGGGCAGATGTGCTTCCTTCAGAAATGGACAGGTGCATCATTTCAAAAGACTGAAATTTCTCAAATCTACAAAATGTCAAGTCTTACTGAAGCAAAGAAATACATTTCTTGGTCTGCTTGTGTTCTTCAAAATCCTCATTTAGAGTGGTTTAGCTCTCTAGGATTGAGGGAGCAGATGTGCAAACAAACACTGATTAAAGCATTCTGCAACAGCCAGATACATGTTTATGGGTTTAAAATACCCGTATAGTGTCTTTCAAAACAAAGCTTTCCCAGAGGGCAGCTTACAAAACATGTTCTAAAATAAAAATTAAATCTAGGCAAAACAATCCAATTTAGAAACATATTTTTAAAGAGGGCCACTTAAATCAAGATGAAGCAAAAGGAATTTCTTTGGTGAGATAGTTCCAGAAATGTTGGTTCATCAGCGAAAAGAACATAATAGATATTGCTGATGGGCCTACAAGCCCATTCTCACAATCTTGAACAGATTCATAAGGGGACATTCACACTTTCAAATAATCAGGTTTAAAATTTTAGAGCTTCTTCTCAATGTGAAATATTAATTGTACAGGTAGCCCTTGACTTACAACGTTCATTTAGTGACCATTTGAAGTTACAAAGGCACTAAAAAAGTTACTTATGATCATTTTTCACACTTACAACGGTTGCAGCATCCCCATGGTTACACGATTTACATTCGGATGCTTGACAACTGACTGACATTTATGACGGTTGCAGTGTCCTGGAGTTATTTGATCCCTTTTGTGACTTTCTGACAAGCAAAGATAATGGGGAAACCAGATTCACTTAACAACCATGTTATTAATTTAAGAACTGAAGTGATTCACTTAACAAATGTAGGGAGAAAAGTCGTAAAATGGAGCAAAAGTCACTTAGCAAATTTCTCATTTAGCAACATAAATTTGGGGCTCAATTGTGGTTGTAAGTTGAGGACTACCTGTAATTCCCTCTGGCTTTTACTTGGAGGAAACTTAAACCCTGAAGCAGAGGTGGGCTTCAGCCGGTTCAGACCAGTTCGGGCGAATCGTTTGTTAAGATTCTATGCAGTTCGGCGAACTAGCAAATCCCACCACTAGCTAGCCCCACCCACCCCACCCTGCCCCACCCTATCTCGCCTGGCCCGCCTTGGCCTGTGGTTAGAGTCACATCTGTACTCCACTACTCTCTGGTTAGAGTCACGCTCGCTTGCCAAGACCATGCAGCCCAGCTGATTTCTGCGCCTCAACCACTCTGCTCACCGCAGCTGCCCACGAAGGTAAGGCGCCCAGCTGAAGGGCTGCCTGAGGGTGGACATGGCAAGGCTTGGCTGCCTTTTGGGCCTGGCTCTCACCATCCTTCTGCCTGCATGCCGCCTGCTCACCCTTTGTCTCAGGTCACGGGACATGCCAGTCCCTGGCTCTGGACTTCCCTGGGGCCTCTGCCTGCATGCCAGGCTGCTGCTGTGAGAACGGTGTAAGCCTCATGGGCTAGAAGGTAAGACTGATGGTGGGGAAGAAAGATCCACTCTGGGCTTGTTGTGCTCAGCTGAAGGACCACCTCGGTGACGGGGGGATACACAAGCTCATCTGCCTTTCGGGCCCAGCTTTGGCTTCCGCGGAGCCTCCAGTTGGGAGGCCTGAGAGAAAATGCCTCCCCCAAGGGCTGCTCACCCATCCACCAGCTGGGCTGGCCTGGAAGTGGGCTGGATTGGGACCCAAGGCAGAGTGGAGGTTGAGGAGGCGGCAGCCCAGAGCAGGGCCCGAAAGGCGGCTGAGCCTCACCGTGTTACACTCCCCCACACACCGAGAAGCCTGCAGCCGCCACCTCTTTGCCGGTGCAAGAAGCCTCCAGCCGCCGCTGCCAGCTCAGTTCCGGCCGACAAAGAGGCAGCTGCTGCAGACTTCTCATGCCAAAAAACACCGGCAGTTGGAGGCTTCTCAAGCCAGCAAAGACTGGTGACTGCAGGCTTCTCGTGCTAAAAAAGAGGCAGTGGCTGCAGGCCAGTGTCTCAGGGTGGGGTCATGTGCCCAGCTGCACCAACAAAGGCCGGAAGTAGCTGCCCGCTGTTTCCTGCTGCAAAAACCTTTTTAAAAACCCCGAGTGTTGGGCAGCAAGACCCAGCAAGAGATGGGGTGTTGGCGAATCACCGTTGCTGTTGCTGCACAAAGGTAAGTCGAAGGGTCTGGCCACCGCCGCTTCAGCCCACCTGTGCTGCCCCACCTTGCTGTGAGTGACATTTAGTTGGCCATGCCCACTGAGTCACATGACAACCCCCAGCCATGCCCACCCGGTCTTTAGGACAGACCGGTTGTTAAATTAGTTGGACCCCACCACTGCCCTGAAGCTATGTTCCCTCCTTAGACTGATCAATTTTTTAACTGTTTAGCTTGGACCATGAACAGCATTAGGCATCATTAGATCAGAGTGGGCAGGCCTGCCCCCATTTATTTCTTCTTAGTTGTAATAGCAAAGTTCCTTGCCATTTTCAGGTGGAAAGCACATAAAAATTATACCAGGAATCCTAACATACTG